ATCTTCATAGATGAGAGTGGTTTCAACCTTCATCTGAGGCAAACTCAGGCTCGCTCAAGAAGAGGGAGGCGCGTGAACGTCGTGTGCCCACAGTCAGAAGTCGCATAGTAACACTGAATGTTGCAATTGTAGCGCCCAAAAAGATAACTCTTATCTTTCGTGTACAATTTACTTGTTGACCGATTGTACATTACTCCTTCTTGTTTTAATCTTACAACCGGCTCGACACACAACTGCCTTGTAAGTTCCCGCGCTCACGTGTACGCTCTTGCCTCGCTTCATCCGTCCGCTTCTTGTTGTAGCCCATCGAATACAGTCCGCTGTGTCCGACTCCAATTGCCTTCTGATATCCGCGCTTAATTCCGCGCATCGTCTCGGACTAGTATTAACTAGTCCTACAAATTGGTGACCCCGATTCGCACGCGCGAATTCAACATTTTTTCTCGTTTGTATTTTTTGGTGAGTTCGTTCCTTTTTCTCGATTATATACCTATATTCATTTGTTTCTTGCGTAATTTTAGTACTTTTATCGTATTTTGTTCGTTCTTTATCTTTCGACTCACATTTCGAGAGCGGCATCTGAGTCGTTTCACAGCGTAACCATGCTTACTTTGGCTGTTCCAAGTTTCATGGAACACAGTCCAGAAGTTTGGTTTAAGATATTCGAGATCGAGCTAGAAAATAAGGGCATAACGGCGGACCGTCCAAGGTACAATCAGCTCGTCCCACGCCTTCCTCCGTCGGTAGTGACGCTGATTGAGGACATTCTACTCTGCCCATCGAATGAGGCAAAGTATGAAACGATGAAGCAAGCGATATTGAAAGAGTTACGACCCAGCGCACGAGCACGATTTGAGCAGCTCAATGGTCTCAAGCTTGGAGATCGCAAGCCGTCGGCATTGCTCCGCGAACTTCAGCGCATCGCTGGTCCCTTATTCTTGAGCGAAGAAGGGATAAAGGAGCTGTGGTTTGCACGTCTCCCAGAGCCATTGCCGGTAATGCTGTCCATGTTTATAGATGCACCCTTGAAAGACTTAGCTACCAAGGCAGACGCTGCGTTCGAACGTTTTCCGCAGCAGACGACCAGTAACTCCGGTGACGTATTCTCACCGATGAAAACCGAATCCCATGTTTGTTTCCAGTCGCTAGACCGATCTGACTCTAAAGACGAGGAAATTGCGCTACTTCGCAGCAGGATAGCGGCAATGAAGGCTTCGAAGCAGCGTGTGCCACGGTCAAATGCTGACCACGTTTTGGCTACCGTTCATTGCGGCTCGTCTGTGCCTGCACCGAGTACGTCACGTTCGGCACGAAAGCGCAACATTTTCCTTACAAGTTCTCAGTCAGATAATGTCAAACCCGTCGAAGAAGTATGTTGGTATCACCGCCAATACGGTGGAAGAGCTAGACGTTGTCGGGCTCCCTGCATTAGGCACGACCCAGGGAAAACGAATAGCCCGCATACTAGCACTACAAACGTATCATTCAATAACCAAGCAAACCGACTGTTTTACGTTAAGGATCGACGTTCTTCCATCACGTTCCTCATCGACACGGGAGCGGAAGTCAGCGTCATCCCAGCGACCGCTAGCGACAAGCACTCGAAGCCTACGTACAATTTGCGTGCGGCCAACGGTTCTCCGATAGCTTCATTCGGTCAGCGCATGATGAACCTAGACCTCAATCTTCGCCGAGATTTTCAGTGGGTCTTCATGGTTGCGTCTGTACCCTTCGCAATTATCGGTATCGACTTCCTCCGACATTTTGGGTTGCTTGTTGATGCTGGTCGCCACAGACTTTTAGACGACCGTACGAAACTAGGTGTTGATGGTGTCCTTTCAGATGCCCCGGTAATCAGCCCTGTATTTCGGATCGCAGACGCACCGTCCGACTACTTGAGCCTCCTCTCCGAATACCCGCGACTGGTTCGACCGGCTGCAGAGCTTCCACCAGTCACGACAGAGGTCGCTCACCACATAGTTACGCGCGGTCAACCAGTTAGCGCACGACCAAGACGGCTTGCTCCAGACAAACTACGGGCAGCACGAGCCGAATTTGACCACATGCTTCAACTTGGTATCGTCAGACCGTCCAACAGCCCATGGGCGTCGCCTCTGCACATGGTCCCGAAGAAGGTTGTGGGGGACTGGCGTCCTTGCGGCGACTATCGATCCTTGAATACGGTAACCACGCCTGATCGCTATCCGATCCCACACATAGTGGATCTCACCGCCAGTCTGGCGGGTAAAAATATCTTCAGCAAAATCGACTTGGTACGCGCATACAACCAAATTCCGGTAGCCGAGGCGGACATCGCTAAAACTGCCGTGACGACTCCATTTGGTTTGTTCGAGTTTCTGCGCATGCCATTTGGCCTAAAGAACGCCGCGCAAACTTTTCAGCGTTTCATCGACCAAGTTTGTCGCGGTTTAGACTTCGCTTACGCGTATCTTGACGACATTTTAATCGCAAGCTCTTCACGAGAAGAGCACATACGCCACGTACGAACACTTTTTGATCGTTTATCTCAACACGGGGTGACGATCAACGCAGAAAAGTGTTCGTTTGGTGTCGATTCAGTTAATTTCCTGGGCCATCGTATCTCTTCTGCAGGCGTCGTGCCACTGCAGGATAAAATTCAAGCCATTATCGACTACCCCGAGCCTCATTCTTTCAAACAGCTCAGGCGTTTTGATGGCCTGGTCAACTTTTACCGTCGATTTATACCCAACTGCGCCTCTCTGATGCAACCCCTCACGGACCTTCTCCGAGGGAAACTCAAGACGTTCGAATTTCCTACCGCAGCACGCGCTGCTTTTAAGTCGCTGAAAGAGGCTATCGCCAACATAGCTTCCATAGCGCATCACGATCCGACCGCCCCACTGTCCCTTAGTACTGACGCCTCGGACGTCGCGGTCGGCGCTGTTTTGCAGCAACGCGTAGCCGACACGTGGCAGCCCTTAGCGTTTTTCTCCAAACGCCTACAACCTACCGAATCTCGCTACAGCACGTTCGGTAGAGAACTACTTGCCGTATATCTAGCGATACGTCACTTTCGACACGTCCTAGAAGGCCGCTCCTTTGTCGTCTTCACCGACCACAAACCCCTAGACTTACGTGCTCGGCTCGACTACCGACCGATACTCTCCTAGAGAGTCGCGCCACCTTGACTATATCGCTCAGTTTACGACCGATATACGGCATGTCTCAGGTGTGCACAACGCCGTCGCCGATGCACTTTCCCGCATTCAAGCTATCTCCGCTGACGCCGGCACTGCTATCGACTTGGCAGCCATGGCCACAGCGCAACTTAACGACCCTGAGGTTGATCTACTACGCAGGTCTCCCTCATTGGACATACGACCCGTTCCGCTGACATCATCAGACGGAACGATACTCTGCGATTTATCTCTGGGCACGCCGCGCCCAGTCGTCCCACGCGAGTTTCGGCAGACCGTGTTCGACGCGTTGCACGGCTTGTCTCATCCAGGCGTTCGTGCATCGGTTAAACTCGTAACCGCACGATTCGTTTGGCGCAATGTTAATCGGGACGTCCGTACTTGGGCAGCTGCTTGCCTTCCGTGTCAACGCGCGAAGGTGCACAAGCACACGAGAAGCCCATTAGGCACTTTTCCGACGCCAGACGCACGTTTTCATCACGTGCACGTCGACCTCGTAGGTCCTCTGCCGCCTTCCAAAGGCTCGGTATATCTACTGACCTGCATCGATCGATTTACTAGATGGCCTGAGGCCGTCCCCATCCCAAATTGCTCCTCGGAAACGGTAGCGAAAGCTTTTATGGAGCGCTGGGTAGCTCAATACGGCTGTCCCGCCATCGTGACCACCGATCGAGGGTCACATTTCTCGTCGACCTTTGCCACGTTGCTTAAGGATTTAGGCTGTCGCCACGTCCAGACGACGGCGTATCATCCGGCCGCTAACGGCATGGTGGAGCGTTTTCACCGCCAGTTGAAGGCAGCGCTACGTGCGCACGCAGATCCTTCATGGTCTGAAACGCTTCCCCTCGTTCTCCTAGGCTTAAGAAACACGGTTAAGACTGACTTCGACGCCACACCAGCGCAGCTAGTCTACGGTTGCACGCTGCGGTTGCCCGGACAGCTGGTAGCACCAGCCCCATGTACTTCCACTTTTGACTACGGAAGTTACACTGATCGATTGGCTCACCAGATGCGTGAGCTACGTCCACCCGCTCCTCGATCGCAGAAGACACCAGTGTACGTGCCCGAGAAGCTGTCTACGTGTTCACACGTCCTTCTTCGCGCAGACGGTGTTCGACAGCCTCTTCAGTCGCCGTACATAGGACCCTTCAAGGTGCTGCATCGTGCGAGTAAGGCGTACACTATTGACCGCGGTGGTCGACACGAAGTCGTCACCATCGACCGTCTAAAACCCGCTTTTATGGAAGAGAGCACCTCGCCTACTTCGTCTAGTAGTGCTTCGTGCGACGTCACAACTCATCGCACCAACGTACAGCATCCTAGTCCAGTTCAACCAGACCACGATATCGGTCTACAAGCCGTCCCAACCTCTTCCGAATCTAGCCCGCCGCCTCCCACGACCAATCGCCGTGGTCGGGAGGTGCGTAAGCCCGTCCGTTTCTCCGACTATGTACAGTGTAAATACTTTTAACTTTGTAGATATTGTATATATTTGCCCCGTTTTTGGTCGATTAACGTTTTGAAAACAAACAAAAATATCAAAAACCTCCGAAAAACCTTTTTCGAAAAAAATATTCAAAAACCAAAAAATATTTAAACACGCAGATCATTCGTTTGTTCTTTTTGGCGTTTTCTGCGCGTGTTTTTCTATTTTCTCGTCTTTACATGCCCCAACCCTCCCCTTCGATCGACTGGCCCACACGAGGAATCTTTTCGAGGACCCTGACGCGAACACTGGTCGCTTCTCCGCGGGACGAGGATCGCTTCTCCGCGGGACGAGGATCGCTTCTTCGCGGGACGAGGATCGCTTCTCCGCGAGACGAGGGTCGCTTCTCCGTGGGACCGTGGTCGTTTTCTTCGTGGGACGAGGGTCGCTTTGGCGCGGGGCGGGGTGCGGCGGGGGGAGAGACCACTCCCAAGCGCACCGTTTGGCAGCAGCGGAGGTTGAGGTCCTGTCGGCCTTTTTCTGGACTAGCCAGTTTTTTTGTAGTCCGACAAGCCCGCTCCAACGGCTCGCCGAAATGCACCCTGCCCTGCATTCAATAAATAACGAATCATAAACGGCACAGCGGACTCCGACTTCCGACGAACCCCCATTTACACGAACGCACGCCCATTTTTACTCGGCACGATTTCGCCTTACGAACCTCGTTTCAACATTCCTTTTCGATTTCGAAGGCTTTCTATGTTCAGCCTTCTAGGGGGGAGCTCTGTAGCGCCCAAAAAGATAACTCTTATCTTTCGTGTACAATTTACTTGTTGACCGATTGTACATTACTCCTTCTTGTTTTAATCTTACAACCGGCTCGACACACAACTGCCTTGTAAGTCCCCGCGCTCACGTGTACGCTCTTGCCTCGCTTCATCCGTCCGCTTTCTTGTTGTAGCCCATCGAATACAGTCCGCTGTGTCCGACTCCAATTGCCTTCTGATATCCGCGCTTAATTCCGCGCATCGTCTCGGACTAGTATTAACTAGTCCTACACAATGAATAACCAAGGCGTCATCCATTCAAAATCATTAACGATGGCACCTGCAATGATGCGTAGTTCTCAGCTTTCGTCGAGGAACTGGTGGCGCGTATAAGCTGCATAGTGGAGATTAACGGCGCGTGGCTGATCATGGACAATGCCAGGATCCATATGCCTGATGAGCTAAGGAGGATTCTTGGTTAGTCTTATCACCTGCTGTTCTTGCCGTCCTACTCGTACATGCCAAACCCGGTAGAACACGTATTTTCAAAGGTGAAAGCGTCGGCGAGACGCCTGTTTATTAACCCCACACCTGAGCAGACGCTGAGCACGGTCATTCAGGACAGCGCTGGGATGGTAAGGCAGCAGGACTGCATGAACTGCGTTCTCAATACGATGAGGAACCTGACGAAAGCGACAGCCGGACAACCCTTCGTCGCGTCGGACACCAGCTCTCCCATTGTTCGTCACTCATTTTGGTCGTTTCGTGAGGCACGGAGCTAATAAAGCTATGTTGGGTTGAGTGGAACCATTATCGTATGCTCGGCTCCAATTGTGGTACCGCTGCATAGGTCTGTCCACACACCCAGACAAAACACTCGAATTCCTACGGGGGGTGTAGGGGAAAATAGGTCACCGATTTTGACCGAGGCGAATGGCACTCATGTCAAGAGAAGGGCTTACACAATCACACGCTACGTACGCAGTTCGGTTACATTATCGTGACCACAATGTGGCCTGAACATCGTGTAATCGGCCCACTCCTCAGTAGTTGATATGTTGCAACAATAGGCTATAGATCTAGACTGGATTTGCTGGGGGTAATTACAGCCTACGCTGATGCAATAACGTGGCAGTTGCGAAAGCTAATAGAGAGACGGGCGAAGCTTGGACACCGCCTACCTGCTTCATCCGACATGGTCCCATTGACCGAATCGGACAAGGTTCTCTCTAATGAGAATAACGGTACACATTGAGATTGCGCATCGCAATCCACTCACAAAATGATTGATACACAATTACGATTCGGACGTCCGATTTTCCAATTGTCACACACCTACATCGGTTGATGCGTATGGGCACTGCACACCAACTAGGCGAATGTCAATGGGGAGAGGGGAGCATAGTTCAGAACTTCGGTTGCTGCTCACGATCAAGCAAATGTTTTACAGTGTAGCCCGCTGCTTACACAATGCCGGTGTATTAGCGTCATCACAATGTATATGCTGAACATCATTCAGCAGTCTTACTGATGGTTTCTTACCAACAAATTGGCCAGTTGCTACTTAGATTGCAACGTGTCCACTTTGTTTTGCAAAATGTCCAGTTTGGTTTGCAAAATGTCCAATGTGGTTTGCAAAATGTCCAGTTTGGTTTGCAAAATGTCCAGTTTGGTTTGCAAAATGTCCACTTTGGTTTGCAAAATGTCCAGTTTGGTTTGCAAATTGTCCAGTTTGGTTTGAAAAATGTCCAGTTTAAAGTGAAAA